GCAGTTTGTTTATAGAGCTTCACTGAAATTCTCAGCATTTCTTTTCATTCCTCACAACATCTCCAAAGTTCCTACAATTGTTGTAAAGTTCTCTAATCTTTCAAAAAGTTGTTGAACTTGTACATGCAATACGAAACTTCAAGACATTGAATATTTTTAGATCTTGGACTTACTAACTTGGAATTTTATCTAGAAAAATGAGTAGACATCCTGTATATAGAGAAAGACGATTAAACGTCACAACGCAAAGAATAACTAATCTTGAAATAAATTCATGCTAAAAAAGTTGAAAATAGTGACTTATTACAAGAAAAAGTAACTTTAGTGACTTGGCCTTAAAAAAAGAGACTTTTTAGTGACTGACTTGAAAAAAGTGACCAAGTCACTAAAAAGTGACTCGCTACCAGCCCTGTAAGTAGTTAACCAATTTAAAATCGTTAGTTTCCACCGGTTGGTAATACGCCAAAAAATCATCGATCAAATAATCATGTACACTCAATTCTGTTTTTACGTAATTTTCATTTGTTCGATTTTGCCCTCATGCAGAATGAGTACAGAATTTTCAATACCACCTGATTTTCTAGTATTATATTGTGATTTTTTAAAACAAGTTGTATTAAATTTGATTGAACCGTTTTTGTGATCTGATTTATTGAAAAATATTGAAATGAAAAATTGGCTTATTTTTTCGCTATTAGTACAACTCTTAGTACATTGAAAAATTTATAATTGGGAACATTAACTTTGAAAAATAAATCGGTTATTGCACATCATCTAAGAGAGTTTCGTTTTCTGAGCACAGTGATATTATTTTTTCGATCCCATAGATTTTCATCTCAATTTCAGGGTTGTTAAAAGAAATCCGCGACTTCAAATACTAATCCGCGACAAAAAAAACTGTTTTAATTGCCTAAAAATAGCATTTGTATTGATGAATTTACGCGAAACTGCACCAGTGCATGCGACACCTAGGTTTGAAATCCATAACCACAAAAGTGATGATGTACTAAAAAATATTCCATACGATTTGACAGGTAGCAAAACGTCATTATCATTTTTTCATCATTTCCATCTGCTGGTCGACCATAACGTAAATTCATCAACACTACTGCATGGCACTTCAAGCTTATTGCTTATGGCATATTGGATTTTCTGCTCTCAACTTAGTGTTCTTTGAAGTACTTTCACCGACAAACCGATATTACAAAGAAATTTCTGATCAAAGCACAAAACTGACATCTGCCGCCGTGTTCGCGGAACATATTTATCCTAGCTACGAACACGCGTACAACATTTATGAGTTTGTTCGTGTCTAATCTATTTCGGACGAATAATTTTTATCTAGGTAAAAAAAATTCTATGGTTTTGACAGATGGGATCGCTGCACATTTGAATCGGCCGTTATGGATTCTCGGTCAAGAGCTAAGTTTAAGTTTCATGACGGTTTGTCGGTGGTACTTTCACATTTCAATTGAGAGCTTTCTACACCTGTACCATCCTATGCCCAAGGAAGTGATAATTTTCCACCCGAGAAATTAATAGACTAGACGGGAATTGAACTCAGTCGCTTCCCTTATAGCACTTGCTTTATAGCTGCGTCTTTACCGACTGAGTTAAAGGAGTAGCGTTTGTATCATTTGAATTTTTTTAAAGTAACATTGCATCATCTTCAGTTATTTATGTATAGTATAAATTCTGAGTAATTAGTGAACATAATAAAACACACTTACATCATGAGATTCTATTGAATAATACCAGCCTAGATTTTATGAAAAATTATTTTTGAAAAAATTAATGCATTTTCATTTGAAATGCAAATTTTCATGAAAATTAACCTGACGTATTTTGCTGTCCTAAATGTAGTTAATTTGGTTCTAGTTTTCTCTTTTTTTACCGATTCAAACCAAACACCCTGCACATAATCGAGAAATTACCAGAGTTACACGGATTTTCCTTGGGGTCTGTCCAATGGTGAGATAATTTCATGATTTTTTTTTTATATCTTTATTAAGGAGACTTTCAGCCGTTGGCTGGCTCGTCTCCGAGATATAATTTCATGATATTTTTTATTTCTAATATGACCCTAGCACTTTTCGTTGCCAAATCATAACCGAATCGTATATATGTGACTTTGTGGATCATGCACGACTGATTACTGTGTATACCGGAAATTATAGGTTTTTTGAATCGACATCCGTTGATTTGTTCTGCTAGATCAACCAAGACTGCAATAATGTCTGCAGTATCGAAAAATGTCCAATCAAATTCAATGTGGGGGCGACCCCGGCGTAGTGGTTAACATCCATACCAAAGTCACGAGTTCAAATCTCACCCCCGGACAAGTCGCGAATGACCCAAGAGTGTTAAAGTAACTATAATAATAATAAAAAAAAAAAATCAATGTGTCTATGTGGATCATGCATGATCTATTTCCGAGTAATCCATATGTTCAAGGTTCTACACATCGTCCTGGAGTTCAGATAATTTGATCTACTAGATCAACCGAGATTGGGACAATGTCTTTAGTATCGAAATATTTTCAGACAGATGCACAGTGTCTATGTGGATCATGCATAAACTACTATCATGTATACCAGATGTTTTAAGTTCTCCAAATCGTTCTGGAGTTCAGATGATTTATCTTACACCATGACTGGGATAAAGTCTGTTGTATCGAAATATGTCCAAACAGATTCATAGTGTCTATATGGATCATGCTGAATTATTTCCACGTGTTGATTTAGGTTCTTCAAATCGTCCTGAAGTTCAGATGATTTATTTTACTAGATCAACAAAGACTAGGATAATATCTGTAGTATTGAAATATCGATTTGGAAATCCTAGAAAATTTGACATACACGGAAATAGGTTGGCATGATCCACATAGACCCTGCAAACTGCAGATATTGAATTAGTCTTAGGTGATCTATTAGAAAAATAATCTGATCTCCAGAATGATTTCAGAACCTATAACATATTGTATACATATCAATAGGTACAATCCACATAGACACTTTGAATCTGTTTGGACATATTTCGATACTACAGACATTATTGCAGTCTTGGTTGATATAGTAGAACAAATCAACTGAACTGCAGGACGATTTGGAGAACCTAGAATATCCGGTATACATGGCAATTACTCGCATATATACGATTCGTTTGTGATTTGACAACGAAAAATGCTATGTTCATATTGAAAAAAAAGGAAAATGTCTCACATTGGACAGACCTTAGGGAATTTCCGTGTAAATCCGGTGTGACTTTTGGAGTTGAGATCATTTCTCGATTATTTGCTGGGTGTTTAGTTTGAACCGGTAAAAAATTGAGAGCCAGATGAACAACAAAATTGATAACAGCACATCAGTCCTTTCGCGATTTCGCGACATCATTTAATGTTTCTGCGATTTTCTCGACTGAAAATTCAAATCCGCGACAAATCCGCGCCTATTGTAACAGCCCTGCAATTTTTAGATCTAGAATAAAAATAAAAATAAGCCTTTCGCTTTTTGACACAAAATTATCAAATACGCCATCCATAAATAACGAAATATTAGTGATTCCGTCAAAACCACATCGTATATTAGCTTATTGCGTGCTCTCAACTTAATGTTCTAGATGCACTTCCACAGTTATTAATTGAGAGCTTTGTACCATTTTTGCCTTAGTATAATAATTATACTGGCAAGTAGCTGCGCCTTTACCGACAGAGCTAATGGAGGCTTCGAAACACTGCGGGCTTGAATAAAATAGTTCCAGTGAACCAAAATTTATGAAATTCGGGAATACCCCTAAAGAACCCAATTCCAAACGATCAATTGACCACTTTGTCAAGCAGTTTTGGCTTGACTTTCTACCAGCGATTTCACAAAACTGCACCAACTAATTTTTATTTTTTTATGAAACGCACAAATGTTGGCTACTTTTCTCGAGGTTCTAGAAGAAAAAATCTCAAAATAATGTTTTATTTCAAAGTTCGAGTGAAATGTAATTTTAACTGCTCGAATGAAGTGGTTAATTCAAAACGTCCTATCTACTTTGATCGATTCTCTTCATCGACTTTCACTTTCGTTAATGACTCAGGTCCAAAAACATTCCCTGGTGAATTTGATATTTTGGATGCTAGGTGAGATACTTCTTAATCATACTATGTTGCAAAAATGGCGTGAAATCTGTTTCGATAAACAAAATAGATCCAAACAGTTAGGACGTTTTGAAATGTTCATCGAAAATTGCATTTCACTATTGACCCAACTTTTGAACTCTTGATGAGCCTTTAATGTACCAAAGGGTACGTGATAAATACAAAACCAAATTTTGAATAGGGTATCATTTATATTATTCATTGTCCTGAACAGTTTATTTGGCAAGCCCACACATTATTACAACAACAAAACTCAATTGCGATCATTACCTACTTACTTGACAGAAACAGGTCATTGTTAATAATGAATGGCTGTTAAAAAGAAAATACACTTTTCAAGCTGATATTTTGCGACGTATTCAATATTTATCCAAGGAACCCCTCAGGGATCTGTTAGTACTGACTCTATTTCAATCACAGCCGGCAACACTGCGTCATGCATCCCTACGACGGTCATCAGTACCAGGGAAAAACGCATCGGAAAAGCAGAAACAGCACCAGCAGAATCGAGGTCATTGAATCGTAAACAAGAAAACAGGACAAAGCAACCAAAGGGGGTATAATAACAACACAATCGGGCAGGTTCGTACAAATGCACACACACACACACACATATACTAGGCCCAATTCGAAATCTGATTGGAGAAGCAAAAAAGACACTGTCCACTGCAGATAAAGTGCTGACACCTAGCATAACAAAGAGAGCAAATATGCAATCAGCTTGCTTTGCTGCCCCTCGCACTTGCATTCAGGCATTCCCATAACACAATAAATGCCCTCCGCCAGTCAGTCCTCGTCGTCCGTCGTTATGTAAATCATATTTCAATGTTATTAGCATTACAAATGGTTCTCTAACCTGTCACATTAGATGTGTTCTGCTGGATCGTTAACGATTGATCTGCTTTCAGCTTAGTTTGATGATCTTGTCTTTGCACCAAGGCCGCCAATCAAAGCGCACTTCAAGTTATTTAACAACAATACCGACTTGTTTAAATAAGCGGTTTCGATATTTTTAGAATGCACCCACATTTGAAACGAGCAGAACAATTATTTTCCTGTGTTTTTTTAGCACTGTTTGATCTCTCTCGCTTTTGTTTTCTCAGTTATCTTGGCACAGAGGGAAATTATTATTTTATCCTTTCTTTTCACTCTGAATTCACCTTTCTTCACACTCTTAACTGTATACGGCAAGGTGACAGTGGATCAAAGCAATCATTGATTTCACTTCGTACGCTCTCAGCTGACGAGCCTCATCAAAGTTGGCCAAAACAATTTTCCACGCGCAATTTGGGCAGGCAAACTTGGATTTCGATTTTCTCCTGCTGTTATGTATGCTTTTGCTCAATTAAATTTTCATACTTTGCTGGTCGTGTTTTCTTTTCTACACATACACATACACCACCATACAGTGTAGGCTCTGCAGCTTCCTTTGATCTCGATTTTTTTTTCTTCTCCGGGCTGATTTCACTCTCTAACAGTTTGAAATCAAAGACACTTTCAAGTTTAAAAGGAAATCCAACCAACACGCACAAAACCAACTTAACCAAAAACGCCTCGAATGGTAGCTAAAAGTTTCCTTTCAGGAAAAAAACAAAAATTCTACGCATACGCGAGGTCGTCTCCTCCCACGAAACTCTACTTGGATACTACTACTTCCCCCCTGGCTGGCGGAAGAAGAAGGTGCTACTCGCTAAGCAGACAGAAGTGAACTGATCCTAGAGGTCGCGTTGAGCCGCACAATACGGCATCAGAAAAAAAGGAAGCTATGATGATGGAGCTGCTGCTGCAGTATGTAGATAGATTGTTGTATCGTTTTTTCGGTGTGTACGCGCTGTGACGACACGAGCATGGGAGAATAAGCTACAGAAGAGAAGAGAGTATCAACCCAGCTGAGCTCTCCGTCAACATACATATTGAAGCAAATGCAGTGCAAAACGGAACGAGAATGACGTTGAAGCGAACGAGGCGAGAGAGCGAAGGAATGTCAGATTGCAGTGAACGATGAAACTGGGGGCACTGGCTTCGGAAAGGTTTGGATCTTGGATTTATTTTAGTACTGATGATGTTGGGGTGCTCAATAATGTTGTCCCCGAGGTTGTCCCACATGCCAAATTCTAGTTTTTGGTCCGTAAGTTTTGCTGAATGATCGTTAAAATTGCTTTAAATTACATATAGGGTAGAGAACTACCTCGGCCTACTCCCTAATAAAGATAACTAACTACTTCGGCCTAAGCGCCCATTTTGGGCCTCTCAAGCAGAAAACATAAAATAAATTCATGATTTCTGCGTTAACAGGTAAATTATGCATTTGGTACGATACTTTAGTTCAAATACTACCGAAGGAAGTCAATAAGAATGCGTGATCTGAATACTTGCACCCAATATTCTCAAATACAAATGTAGCGCTCCGGCCGAATCAATATTTATCTTCATCCGATAGGCCAAAGTAAATTCAAGTTATCGTCATCAGCTCACCGAGCATATAGGAATCATCAAATGGGTTGTAGTTGCGTTTTATTTAGTGGTAGCTGCGGCTGAGTTCCGGACTACTACTGACTTGGCTGACCAGACTGACCACCAGCTTGTCTTGTGTAGGGTTGGAATTTTGGTTTGTGGAATTTTGGTTGCACTTAAACTCAGTATCTGCAGTGCGCTAATCCACGTCGACTTCAAAATTCGTCCTTTTCTCGCTGCGCCGGGTTCATCTTCTGCGCCGTGCCGAGACCCTCCTTGGAGAATGCTTTCGTTTCATTATTTCACTCACTCCACGGCAGCACGTATGGAGCAGCTTTCTTGCGCTGAAATCGAAGAACATAACTTTCTCAAACACATACCATCTTCAAAAAAACAACACCCCAGAAGCTTATCTTAAACCATTTGGCATTCTCCTTCCGGAACACAGAACGCTGCCTTACAATCGGTTTTATACGCCATCGCGAGTCTAGGGATTTCTAGACTATTCTTCTCAACAAGAAAAAGCCAATTTTCAAAAACAGATGCGTGTGAAACACAACGTAGTTATTCACTGAATGGATTCTGCGCCGTTATTCTGACTTAGTATGATTTTGAAGTTGAATTTTAATTTTATCAATGTATAAAGCATAACCAGAAAATGATTAAATTTTAATCTATCGTTGTTTATTAATATTTTTGAGTGTAGGGGAGGTACGGCTTGATCTGGTAATATTAGTCATATTTGGTGTAAAAATTGCTCAAATTGGTAATTATTATAATTTATAGTATAAATTTTAATGATATTAACTGCCCCTTGAGCATCAAAGTAAAAAAAAAATAACAGTGTAACTTTAACGCATACACTCAATGACGTTTTACCATTGTTGTTTATGTTTACTGCAGCTTTCTGTTTGTCATGATTTTTGCCTAGATTTGCGTTTTCGATAGCTCTGGTCGGTTTCGACATCGAGTTTTCATGATAAAAACGGTACTGGACGTTTCCCCAGCAGCAAATATCTCCAAGTTGCAGGCTCATGGCGAATCGAGTGTAATACGACCATGGAACCATCACTCTGGGACTCCGTTAACAGGGGCGGCGTAGTCAGTCGGTTCCCGTTCCATCGGAGGACAGCATATTGGTTCACAGACGATGAAGAATTTGTGGAAATTAATGACTAATGGGAACGGAAGTGCGGTCGATTATGTGCACTGAGATCAGCTACCAAATAATGCCGAATTTATGAGAACAACACACCAAATTTAAATCGCTGAAAATCAGCAAAATTTTGCTGATTTTAGACTTGGTGAAAGATCAGCAAACGGTCCAGCAAAATAATGCTGCTGAATTTTTCAGCAATTCCAACTTCTGTCAAAATGACAACCTTTTACTGAAAATCAGCAATGGATCATTTTGTCAAGCTTCTGCATTCATGTTCCATCAGATGTCACAGCTGTTGTTTGCGGTGATATCTATCGGAAACTAGACACAATCTATTTTCCTATAATTGTTCACAGAGGACACTGCAGTGCAAAACATGTCTGGTACCTCTATATATGCATTTAGATTATTATTCGAAGTCCCTCCTTTTTTACACATTCTACACTCAAAATAGCTCACCCATCACAGAATTTTGTGCTGAATTTTATGTATGGGGCGGGGCATAAAGTATCTTTTGCGCAGAATATGTAAAAAAGGAGGGACTTCAAATGTTAAAGCAAATGCATATATAGAGGTACCAGACATGTTTTGTAGTGTCAGGTACTCTATTCTGTATTCTGTGAAAGGGAAATCACAATTCGAGTGTCAACAAAATACATGACATGTTGAGAGATTGAGCTCGTGAGAGAGAATTTCTCTCTCAAATTTGAATTTTTTTGGCTTTCTGGGGACTGGTAGTAAAGCAGGTAAAATTGTATGGGGAAAAATCATTTTTATTTAATTGTAGCTTGCTTAACAATAATTTCCAGGAAAAAACTGAACGACAAAGTCCCTAATTAATTTCTTTAGGTTGTCGTTCACTTTTTTGACCTGTATATGCACCGAAAGCTAATTATTCCCACTTCTCTCAATTTCTATATGGAGATTTTTATCACTTCCTACCAGCGGAACAGCGCCATCTCTGTGGAAAATAGTCGAACAAAATGATTAATATGTCTTTACTGATCTTTCAGCAATTCAAAATTCTGACATTTGGCAGCATTTTGCTGATTAAACTATTAAATTCAGTAAATTTAATTTGTTTTCACTATATGAGCGTCCAGCTTCTGTAAAAGATCGTTGATACAAATATACGAATAATAAAGATAAAATAACAAGACTCTTTTCCGAGTATCATTTATTAAATATAACCAGTGTCCGAGCCAGTGTCCTTACACAGAAAAAAAATCGTTGCTAGAATTAAAAAATCCATTGGTAGAATTAAAAGTTTGCATTGGTTCTTTTTGGTAGAAAGCGGTTAGCTTTCAAACCAAAAGTCAGCCAACTGTTAAATCAAAAGTTGTCCGCTCACTACTTTTAAAAGCTAAAACTTTCAAAATAAATTGTATTACTGTCAAATTAAAAGCACGGCAGTGATGGCATTAAAATTGGTTTCTTTTCAATTCAAAACAAAGTTTTGATTTGAAAATATGATATAGTTAAAACGAAAAGTAACATTTTGGATAGGAGAAATAAAATTTTGAAATTAAAAATACGCATTTTCACCGTAATAACATCTTGTATTCATTTTAAATTCTAAATAATATTTAATTTGACGTTTTGAAAATTAGTAAAAACTTCAAAAAATATATTTGTTTATTACTAATTTTCTTTACAACTAATTAAGCGGTTTTGCAACGAGATTCACGGAGCGACACAGATAGATTTTCCGGCAAGTGAAGGTTGATACGAGGAACACATAATCAAGCTTGGTATTGTTTTACATTTCGTAATCCGATGAATCCAGCACTGAGCGCTACAGACGTATAAAATCCTATGCCGCAACATCAGAATGTACCAACTGGTGACGGATTCTCGTTATTATGCTGTAGGGCTCTCGGTAGGGCTTGATCCTTCTCCGACAGGAATTTGATACGGTCGATACCGAAAACTGTCGCGACGTCATCTTGGTTAATTTCGTAGTATGATATAAAAAAGAATCTAAAAATCCAATAACAATAACAATGAAAATAATGTACTTACCATTTGGAACTCGATTTGGAATGCCAATTCCAAGTGGGTCTCTACGTAGCAGCAAATAATGTCGGAATATCCAACGAAGAAAAGTTCAGTTTCTGGTATCCCACAAAATAATCATGACTCTTTTTGTAACTTCTGATTTGGATGTCATGCTCAAAGTGGCCAGATTAGCAGAAAAGGCGGCATATGAGACGTCAGTGCAGCCAGTAAAACATCGCTGAAAGGATATTTTTGACACTTGTACAACTTTTGTTTTAAAAATTTGTACTTTTAAAACCACGAGTCAAAAGTAAAAGAAAAACTTTCAATTTAAAAAGCTAACTTTTATTTTTAATATGTTTGTTGTTAAAACTACTAATTTTAAGAAACTTTTAATTTGAAAATGCATTATTTTTATTAATACAATTTTCGTTGTTTGTGTGTACTGAAAAGTTGTCCCTCTATCTGTTAGTATTAGCCACTTGGCTTTCGGTATGATAAAATCAACTCAACTGCTCGCCTCCGTGTCAGAACTAAGAATCCTTTTATTACTTCTCTCTTATGCTAACTTAACCTACCTAGCGGTGGCGGACGTGACCCTTTCTGCTGGATCAGCACAAACTGCGTTCGCTGCCCGAGTGGCGTGATCGCGTTTATGCTGATCTTTTTGTTTACATACATTTTATCGTCCGTCTGCGCATTGCTTGCGCAGGGCCGTATCCACCACACGCCCTATCCGAATGAAATTTAAAAATTTATTCAACAGAATAAGTTTTTAAATTGTTTTTGAATTATTTATGTTGAGTTTTTTTTTTGTATCAAGATTGTATCATATAATTGTTTTACTATATAAATGTGTGTAACATAATTGTATATAATTGTAATATAGATGTATTAGTTATGAAAATGTGTTTGTAATATGTTTTTGAATTATTTATGATGTGTTTTGGTACCAAACTTGTATAATATAACTGTGTCTACTATATAAATGTGTGTAAAATAATTGTATATAATTGTAATGATGTATTAGTTATAAAAATGTGTCTGCAATATCTTTCTCTTTTTTTTTTTTTTTTTTTTTTTTTTTTTTTTTTTTTTCCGTGTCAGAACTAAGAATCCTTTT